CTCAAACACCCATACCGAGGTGGGATGTCATCATAGACGGTATGGCAAAGAGTACTATCTTCTATCCAGTGACCTGATGAGTAATTATTTAAGGACCTTTATGCACAAAAGGCAATTTCGTATACTGAAGTGAGCACCCAATCAGAATGCTTCAAATGTGCTAGTAATGCCTTCATGGAGAAGTAATGCACCTGTTAGGATGAACAGATGTGAAACGATTTTATAAGATCCGAAAGAGAGGTCGCGCCCAGTTACTCTAATGATGTGTTCTTTCACCGCCAGGCTATGGATGGACAGACGAACATGACAGTGTACCGACTCTACTTTCGAAAAGTTCTTTACTAATGCATGAAAGCAAGGTGCACGCGTATTTATAAAAGTATAAACTTGCTGTAAAGAATTACCACTTCTTGGATGCATCGTGGGTAAGCACGGCGTCTGGCCAGATCTGGAAAAGATTAAGGTGACCACCGGCTGGCCGATGTCGACAGATATAAAAAAACATGAGTTTCCTTGGCCTGCGTCGTTGTTGCATAAATCATCGCCATTACGCCACGATGACCGTTCTAGTCATAATTTTTTTTGAAAATACCGAGATGTAAGTATGGCATACTGAATCGCAGCGATCTATTGAAGGCACCAAGAAATGATCGACACGGTCGCCAGTTTGGGCAATTGCATATCAAGACAGACCATTACACGTGGTCTATGGCACCAGCGATTTTGCAATTGGCTGTGTATAAGGCATCTCGATGCAGTAGATGCAGAATAAGTCGTCTGTTATCATCCACGCCAGCTGCAACTGGCTGATCGCAATTACCCTATCCATGACAAGGAACTTCTTGCCATGAAGTACGCGCTGACTAATTACAAGAAATTTCTTAGGCAATAGACCCTTTATGGAACATGCGTCTTTACGCAAGGCCTACAAAATGTCCACATCTCTCGCAACGAAAGGCGAAGAGGCTTTCAGTTTTTGCGGAATATAAATTTCACGTCGATTACCAGACAGGAAGACTTAACTTCGTCGCTGACGCACTCTAGCGCTGGCCACAAATTCAATTCGGCTGCGCCATCCGACACTGTTCCGACCACAGTTGCAGTACTGACTTCAAGTGTCCCGTCTTCAACATTACTTGAAGACATATGGAAGACGCGAGATCCGGAAAAGTTTAATGGATGCATTAAACTTCGCATTAATCCGGAAAAGAGCCTTAAACAGTTTTCACCAATATAACACATCTTGCACCTACATCCCTGCGTTTTACGTCGGTCGACTTAGACCGTACTATTAGTACAGATCTACATCTGGTGATAAAAGCCCTTGCGCAGAAGCATCTCCAGCCTATACATGTTATCATTACGCTGACTCTTATCCCGCGTCTGAAGCTCATAGTTCTCCCCACAAAACCGAGAGGTTTCCCGACGAGCTTCGTCGCAGATAAAATGATTTACCACTCATTCGTCAGATGAATAAAGGCAAAATGTGCCTTTCCATCTCCCCATATAAGCTCAGAGTGTTCAAATTACCAAGCAAATCCAGACGCTTAACCCTCTTGTGCTCGAGGTTTTCGCACAACACACATTTTACGCGATCGAGCTGACTCACAGCATAAGTTTGAATTCAACAATACGTTGAAGATGTGTTTGCTAATTACCTCATCTATTATTTCCACTCGTGATGACCAACGCGTCCTCGTGATACGAAATCTGAACAAACACGATGCTAAGGGAATTCGGACGAGTTATCTCGTCAGGTTGCTTTTCTTTCTGCCGTCGGCGAATATGTGGGAATCTCATTCACAATTAATGGTGGACGTGAAGGTCCTAGTATGGCATTACGAAAAGTTTTATCCAATGCCGAATGAGGTCTAAAGGTGGACGAACTCTCGGCGCGTTTGTAGAGAGATCGAAAATTATCTATTGCCTCGTACATCTCCGTTGGGACGCAAATTTTTGTCAAAAATGCATATTTACTAAGCCTTTTTTCGGAACTCGTGTCAAGTTTTCACACAATATTGTAAAGCATCGCCCCTGGATAAGCACCTTAACTTAAGCAGATTTCGATAAACATTGCAGTTTGTAACGCTCCCCGCTAGAAGTCCGCTTGTCGAATCTATAACGCAATCGAGTCAGCTTGTCAAGCCAGGCATCGCGCACAGTCTGCTTAAAGTTGTAGATGAAGTCGCTCCGTGCCTGGGTCAGCGATGCACCATCATATTTATGTTTCCTGCTATATCATCGATATTTGAGGAACACATCGATGTAGAAACTATGCTTAGTGCAAAAGTTACTCGCACTAGAGTCAAGGCCATGAAGCCTTGATGAATTGAAAATCCACATTCGAATAATATCGCAAACCGCGTCAGACAAGCAAGCCAACACTTTCTGAGGAGGCAATCACGCCTCCTTCTTCCAGAAACGCGCAAAAAGCTCTCGGTGTATGGCTTCTTGCGTGGTGTCAATAGGAGTACAGACATCACATCCAGACCTTTCGATTAATAGTGGCGCATCACTACGTCACCGTCATTATAGTTCAATTGGCTCTTGCCAACGCCTTGATTGCTCTTAAGTAAACGACTCCGCCTTAAAGACGGAGCGTCCGACTCGTCGGACAATCTGAAGCTGTCACGACGCTCAGCGAGGCTCATGGAGGTTCGCAAGACCGACTTGCTCGGCTCTGTCGTCGCCTCCTTCATATCTGTCTTTGTAGCAGCCTTCGTCGACTCGGTGTCGCCGTCTGACTCGCCAGAGTATATCAGCAATAGGTTCTAATCTTTGAGGCCATGCGGTGCATCAACTCGTGACTTTGCACCAGAAGAAGCATCAGGAAAGTTGTCGCCTGCTGAGTTTACGGCCTTTGCGTCATTCGCTACATCGGATAAAAGTATTATAACTTCGTTTCTAGCAGCTCTGGTTTGCCGCCACATGAAATTGTCAATTATGCTGGGGAACGAAGGAATGGTTGGAATTGACCAACATGTGCTTCTCTTTCCCAGAGTCACTCATAGGAGTCTCTCATTCATCAATCATTCATTAGTGACTGATGGTTAGAAGGGGTGATGTAACGGGGTGCTATCGTTCCATTATAGTTTACACAAGGCAGATATCAAGTGCGAATATTCTGTTAGAACAAACAGAATATTCTCTTAATATTGGCTAAATAAGTAATATTGTGTTGCAGAAGTACAACACTACTCCTTATCGACTTAAATTAACAATATCACCCAAAAAAGCCGAGCCACAAAAGAAGAACGCAATGAGTGATGAGCAGGTAGATACAATACATGACTGTTTTAGACATAGTTCAATGAAGACTAAATCGAATTTACTGACAAGAGATTTACTATACTAATGTAGTACTGTTTACCACCCTTCTCTCGTGTTGAGCCCTTACTCTGCGCGACGCGTGTTCTTGAAGTCTCGGGGCACCACCTTACTCTGTGTTCAGTGTTAGTAGCTTGTATTCTGACAGTACAAGCGACCAATACCCCGCTACACAAAAGATCTTTTAAAGCTGCGTCTGGTATACCAATGGACCATGTTTTGGCCCAAAAAGCAAATGTAATCGCCCGAATGGACAACCTTGCAGTCCTTCCTTGAATCATTAAACGCCCGTGCACTGCAACCTCTACTTCTATGGGCCCTGTGGAAACACTAACGATAATAGCGGCACGACACTTACAAGCGTGGAAGATATCGTTAATCATTATGCCCTGACCTCTAACGTGCTGAAAATCGAACACGATGATTTAAGTGCGAAAAACGAATGTTTTTCATAGGTGTCCATAGATGTAGCGAGGTGTTTTGTTTTGCAGCGTCAACACTGTCGGCGAATTTTGTACACGTATGTAGTGAGAAAGCTAATCTCACACAAGTAAAGGAGATCGTGGGTACAGGAAGAAATGCAAATACGTGTGCAGCTTCTATCGTGCAGCCCCTCGCATCCGATGCTTGTACTTGAACACCACAGTATGTAGTTCATGTATCGGCGCTTTAAAAAAGATTAGCACCCCATATCTTCTTGATTCGTCCACGTAATATAATCACTTTATATACATTCATCTGCAACATGACGACACACAGCTACGATTGATCGTTAATTGCAGCCTTAATGTAATGCACTGTAAGAGTCGTCACACTGGCTGTCGCTGTTCATTTCCAATTCTGCTGTTATATATATTTGATCGTCGAAGCTTTGACAAAATCACGCGGTGCTCTGGTAGCGAGGAATTACCGTCAAGCAAACCTAATAATGGTCGTTTGAGCTGCTAATACTTACTTTGATTTGTGCGGACAGCGCCCATCTTTCTTGCCATACTAAGCCGCAAATTACGGACGACTCCGGCTTCGTTTAAGGCAAACAATGCTGAGAACCGTATCGACTGCAACTCACTCAGCCAAAAGTACATGTAGTTTCTGCTATGATTCGAAGCTGTGACAAAAATGAAACACGAATCCTTACGATTACGACGTGTGCGTCGCTGAAAAACGTCGACCTCCAAAGCTTACGTCACTAAGTTGCGGACCTATTCTCGTCTAATGGCGAATGTGACAGTTCATTATTAACTCAGTGGCAAGTGTGATCCAATTCAAGAGAGGATGTACATTAGCAAGGAATGCGATGAAGATAATACAAGTGAAGTTAAAGCTTCTGCATGGCCTGCTTCAATTTTAGTAGTAAGTAAAGCTGTTGAAAAGCCACTCCACACACAATGCATAGTAGTCCTTAAACTGTCTCGTTATAAATGGAAATGTAAAAGTGCTTCACCACTATTTGCTTAGCGGCATGGAGATGCATCACTCGCTACTTCAGAAGTGCAACTAAGAGGAGCACAGTACGATCACTAATATGAAATACTGCGCAACTGCAGGTCAGAGGACGGCGCAACTGTAGTGAAAATTACATCTTATAGCGTTTTGCAACCGGCAACTGATTCTCTATGTCGCTCTTCCCTTCGCAACCGAGCAGGCGCAACGTTGGCGATAGTCACCCCTCTTCAACTCAAACCACTGACCGAGTCTGCGATGGACGTCGCAGCTGCAGATGTAGAATCGTTCTGCCAAATACGGATTGTGCCATCTTCCGAGCCTGTCGCAAAGGAATCGCCCAATGGCGAGTATCGCAAACATCGCACCGGTCCGTGGTGTCCCTTGTGCGTCTCGAGCAGCTCTCCTGACTTAAAGTCAAACACTCGCACCCACGTGTCAGACCCACCTGCAACGAACTTGTTTTCGCTTGGATGCAACGACGCCCCTCCCTCCTCTGCAAACGAAATGGGCATGGCAAACGAACGCAAAAGTGCAAAGTCCTCGTCAACGTTGTAGAAATACACCTACCACAAAGGCACCGAACGCGACACATCCCTCAGTACGCCATAAACAACACAACAACAATACAGCTCCACCACACACTGCAAAAAAAGACAACAACAACATCGAAATCAAGCAGACTAGCACCAACCTGTTTGCCAGCCGCTACGGTCAGCACCTTGCCCTCCCGTGATACCTCCATATCCATCACCCCAGCATCAACAGTAAACTGGCGTTTCTGCGTAAATGTCTCCAAGTCCCAGACCGTCAGCGTGCCGTCTACTTCCCCTGTCACAGCCGCATCGTTGCTAATCACCACCACTTTCCGAATGTGTTGACCCGTCTGCATCTCTCCAAGCGGCTGCGGTGGCTCTATAACGCCCCCACCTTCGGTCTGTAACTGCTTGAGTTGCTCCTTGACTTGTGTGATATCAAACACACGCACGAGCTTCTCGTGGCCGGCAGTAACCAGCCGCGTATCGTCTCGTGTGAACGCCACGCTCTTGACCACGTGCTTGTGCTCGAGCGTCGTTACGACGTCGCCCGTGCACGCGTCCCAGATCTTGACCGAGAAGTCGGCGCTCCCTGTCGCAGCAAACGCAGCCTCGTTGTCCAGCTTTGCGCTCCAAACTGCGCCCTTGTGGCCTTCAAACGTGCCAATCCAGTCGCCGGAACCGCCGTGTCGCAGCATCGGCAACTTGTCGTGGCAAGCCGAGAGGAGCAGCGTCGACGCGTTGTGGCTATAGTGAAGTTCAGTCAGAGGCCGCGAGTGGCCTGGACACACGACGGGGATCTGGCGCAGCGCTGCGGCAGCAGCGGCGGCGGCTGTTGGCGACAGAGGAGACGCCGCGGGAGATCTCATGTCGAGGAGCTCTAGATAGGGATGGAAGGGCGTTGAGTGGAGAGGAATTGCGAGCACTGAGTGGCTGAAAAGACGCGTCCTGAGTTCTGAGGACGATCGGTCAGTGTTTGTACACAAAATAGCGACGGTTACAAAACACGGTAGGCAAGGGCCATAAGTTATCAGATTGCGAGACCATGAGTACATTTATTGTCCACGTTAGTCACTATTTTTGTTGGTGGACGACATTTGAGCCGTACGAATATACGCTGAAGCATCACGAATGTTTGACCTAAATAACATAAAAGTGATGCAGTGACAGCAGCTGCAATTTTCATTAGTAGTTGTGCATCGACACAGACAGCAACAAACTATATTGTGATGCCGGGGTAATTGGGGCTCCATGATAACAAAGAGAACTTATGTTGAAGAGTGATAGGTGGCATATGTACCAGACCAGAATACAAAATCGGCAAGATGCGTCGGTGCGGAGCATGCTACTGTGCACTGTAGTGAACGTGATATTCTCACTCTTGGCGGCTTTCGTAATCACCTTACACACACCCGTCATATAATCGAACATTTGAGTCGAATTTTTATGACAGCTCCCACAGATTCGGCCTGTAGTCCGGTGTTTACGTATACAGCACCGCATGCCCAACCTTTGAGTCAGACCTCATGCTGTTACCGATACCTTTCTGGGCTTTGACATACGAGGATACGTTGAACGTGGTTAAAGGGTCGAGATACGTTAAGCGTTGCCGTCCAAGCAAGATTGCAACAGGGTTACACAAATGGTTGCGATAACCACATACATTAGTATGATGAAACAGAAAGGGACGAGTGTCACGGATGTGTAGGGCTCGGCAAGATAAGGTGAAAAGATGATTGGATCATTTTTTTTCTATTAATACCCTTCCACTACATGTACCCTATTGGTCTGTGGCTACCTCTCCACTTACCGTACTCTACCCCTTTACCGGGGTAATTACGCGGTAAACAAAGGTACAAATGATTGATTGAATCCTTGGAGTAGCAGCTATAATTGATGATTTGACGACATCACCGGCCTATCAAAATAGAGTGTATAAGTGGATTGTGTAGGGTCGATTTGTGTACGCCAGAGGGTGAAGCCAGTACAATTCACAATAGCAATTATTTGTTAGAGTTCACAGTAAACTTTAAATACCGTTTAGGTAAATTAAGTTGAAGCAACTAAACAACACCTTTGTCAAGGAGGGCTCTCCCCAATATTTCAGACCCATCTCCAGCTGCTGGACTACGGCTTACAAGCTTATGACGCCGGACTGAACGAGTGCGGCTGCAGCTTGTACTCATTTCGCCGGTACTTTAAGGATACCGGCACACATCAATGAGCGCTGGTTAAATTATCTGTATTTGAACTATAGTGAAAAACTAAGCATAATTTGCATACATATAGCGAATCAACCACTCATTAATTCATATCTCGTTATATGTTTGAAACTTGTGCGAGATGCAACATATGGATAATTTGTAGTTGGCACCGGCGTCGTTTTCATCGCTGTGGCCGTTGAAGACATCCATAAATACGTAAGCGTAAAATTGGGGTCGCGGGCGAAGACGTGTGCTTTGACATGTTGTAAATTTTTTTCTTCACTCTGGGAGTTCAGAAGTCTCAGAACGTCGTGGCGCACTCGATTATTACTCTGTGATTGTGAGGAAGTCACAACTCGCAAATTGCTACACAGAAGTTATAATGTCAGAATTAACCTTTTTTCAATCTGTTATTATTGAATAAAGGGTAATGAGATCGTCTGAACCCATTACATTACCCGCTACCTTACCCCTTGCCTTCCCTTTACCCTTTTTACACTGACTATTACCGTTTTACCGGGTAACAAAGGATGTCTACCCTTACCTTGCCGAGGCCTGCTGATATGGCATACTTTTGTGTCATATACGCTAAGCGATGCTACCTTATTCTATCGGTCATGGTTACAGGATATCTATCGTGATGGGGTCTTCAATGAGGTGATGTAGTATTGACGTGGTACACAAGGAGAACTATGACGAGGTCTATTCAATTAAGAAGCATACTAAAGACGTATGTAAGGTTTACTATCGCCAAATATCAGTAGATATATTCAGATTCCTTTGTTGATCAGTTCCAGACACGTGTTATTTTAAAACGTCTCTGGTCATAAGAGTTAAGTGCCTGATGTAACTACTCTTGGGCATTAGTGCCACGTGATTCCTTAAATTATTAGTCCTCTGATCCAGGATTGAAAGCATTAGAGCTCGCACATACACTGAGATTTAAGCATCACTGAGTCTATCAGACTTGACATCCCATAATTTATATCCATTTAGTTTGATCTACCAAGAGACTCAACGATTCGATAAAGTTTTCCTCTGATTAAGGAGTTAGGCTATCTTCGCTACACTTGGTAAAACTTGTAGTCAATCTACACCCAAATATAACAAAGGCTGTTTGTCTGTGAGTGAAGAAACCACGATAACCCTCTTTGAGGCCTAAAATTAGGGCTGAAGATACTCAGAGCGCCGATTGAGGGTGAACATTTTCAGCGTGTTTCAAGTGAACGGAACACGGATTGCGAGAACTCCGCTGTAAAACGAGGGTCCCTATCAGATACGAGTTCACGAGTTGACCCGTGAAGTCGGGATATAGTATCGATGAAGACACGAGCACAACCCTGGACTTTGATTGACTCCGGTACAGCAACAAGATGTACCATCTTGCTCAACCTATCAACAAACAAAATAATACCAGTATTCTTGTGAGCGTCTTTGGGAAATCCAAAGACGTAATCCATCGATACGGACTGCCAACACTCTGCCGGAATCGGAAGCGGCTGAAAGGGTGCGCGGGATGAAGGACTAGGCTTCATCGTTGACAAACTTCGCAAGCGCGAATGTATTTCCACACAAACCCATACTGGCGGGACCAGTAAAATTCACGGCGTACCGTGAGGTAAGTCTTTTCTCTACCGCAATACCCACTTGTTAGGACATCGTGACACTCACACATGATGCTCAATCACAAATCATCATGAGCGGGAAAGACGACACGAGGTGTGTCGCCGTTGACTGCCGTGTAGTACAGCAGTCCATCACAAGACGAATACCGTTCAGTTAAAGAGTGGCAATGAGACGTCACGATGTCAAAGCTTGACGGCATGCATTAGACACATAATCCATCAATCGCAGAAGAGACTCGTCTTCTGCGTATGCTTTTCGCACATTGTCGAGAAGATTCGACGACGGAACACTCACTGTTAGTGTCGCGACAGTGGGATCACCCCTACTGTTAAGTTGAGCAGTCGGCTAGAAATCGGGCCGACGCGAAAGAGCATCAGCGACGACAGTAAGTCGTCCTGTTTATACTCGACGGAGAAGTTGTACTCCGCGTGGAAAGAAATCCACCTCGCCATTCGTTGCGAGAAGTGTGGACTATTTACGGCCGTGCGTAATGATGCATGGTTGGTATAAACAATGAAGGTCCTATCTCCTAAGAGATGTACCCGAAACTTGGCCAGGGCATAATTGATGACAAGGAGTTCCTTGTCATGAACCGGATCATTTCGCTCAGCTGCTTGCAGCTGACACGATTGATAACAGACGACGCGCTCAGCGCCGTCTGATTCGTAATGCGTTAATGCGCAGCCGATTGCAAAATCGCTGGCGTCACAGATCACATGAAATGGTCTATCCTGGTCTGCAATCGCCAACACGGGAGATTGCACCAAGTTTTGCTTAACACCTTCGAAGTAGTGCTGACAATCAGCACTCCATGACCACCTCTCGTTTTTCTATATCAGACGAGAGAGATATACGGTCATCTCGGCGTAGTTACGCGAGTATTTGTGCAAGTACGCCGCCAATACAAGGAGCTTTCGAAGTCCCTTGACGTCGACTGGCACGGTCCAGTCGCTAATCGCCTTAAACTTTTCCGGATCAGGGAGAACATCGTTTTAACCCACAATGCAGCCAAGAAGTGGTATTTCGTTCGCTGCGATAATGCACTTCTTGAGGTTCGCGAACAGCTTATGCTATCGCATAAGTGTAAAAACTTTCGGGACGTGGTATATATGAGCCTCCACGTCCGTCTTTCATACCATAGCCCGGCTATGGACGAATACATCGTCAAAGCAACTCGGTGCAAAATCTCGCATTGATTACAACAGATTTGTTACACATCTGTTGTACGTTGCAGGGGCGTTACTTAGCCACTATGGCATCACTAGCCACTCCCAGAGCATACCGCTGCGGGTGCTCACTGCTGTGTACGGGATGTCCCGTTCACGCGTGCGAATATGATAGAATCCGTCCATCAGATCCATGAACGATAAGATGTTACTTTTTTCCGTGCCATCAATGATGACGTCCTTCCTCGGTATCAGCGTTTGAGCCAGTACCGTTGCAGCGTATAATTTGTTGAACGCGTGCACTATCCGCAACCCTCCTGTGGCCTTTCGCACACAGAAGGTCGGAGAGCTGTGTGGGAATGTTGATTCTCTCACATGACCAGCAGCTAAACAATCGGCAAAGAATTTGTCGAGCGCTGCAAACTGTTCACGAGGCAGTGGCCACTTCTTCATGACACGGTACTTCGAACCAGGTTTTAGTTTGATCTCATGCCGAGTGCTCTTGTCCTTGGGTAGCTCTCATGGCACAGATTTCGGGAAAACTTCCCTGAATCCAACCAAATCCTTGTACAAAGGATTTGTCTTCAAAGACTCCCAAGATCGAGACGTGTATCGCTCAATCCGAGTCTTCTCATCGAGGACACTCTCATCCATAGATGAGCTACTGAGAACCCGTTCGTTCTCAGCACACACTTGTGCCGACCGAATATCGGCGACGTACTCGTCCTCTGTGACGAGTACGCAGATCTGCTTGATCTTGTCACTACGCAGATCTCGCAAGAATCTTTTCGATTCTAGCGTTGTCAACCTGATTACCTCCGAATCTGACTTCGGAGGTGTAACCAGATCAAATGTATAAGCGCCTACACTTGATCCGTCATTCGCCAAGACATTCACTGTCTCGGTGATTTCCTGGGAAACACATTCGCAGGTGGTTGGGGATCCACACGCTGAACATAACTCTCTCGGGAGTCATTGCTCTCAAGAACGCTGGAACTTTCTCCCAGTACGTGTTCTGACTGTTGGTGCACTACCACAGTCACGTTCTCTTCGATCGACTCTCTGATAGTCGATATTGCTTCAACGTGTTGTTCATCCTGAACAGCACTCATCTCTCTTCTTGGATGCTCCCTGCTTGGTGTTCATTCGTGTTCCATACCACTCGATCTCTTCGAGTGGTGAACCTTCGGCGCAGCCTGTGTTTCTACACAGGTGCCGGAAGCTGGTTCCACAGTTTCTTGGCCTTCTACACTATGATCTTGTGCAGTCGCACTAACGACCGTACCACAAGTGATGCCATCGCACTCACTCGTAGTACACCCACACGCCCTTGTGGACGCTCCGATACGTTCATCAGATGGCCATCTGATGAGCAAACGGCAGGTATCTTCACGGATGTATGCTGCCAGCTAACCCATGGCCGGTACTTTCTATGCCGTAGCAGACCAAGGATGACATCAAATTTTTCATCCGAATCCAGTACGATAAAGTCATCATCGTACTGCTTTCCGTCTATCGTGTAGTGGATTCCCACTGCACGTTTGTTCACTGTTACGGATGCGCCTGTAGCAAGGCATACCGTCATCCTCGTTGGAGGGAACTCTCGCTTAACATAGTTGAGCGTACCATTTACTAGCGAGTGGCGTCGAATAAGACTATTCGACGCCCCACAGTCAACTAGGGCGCGAAGTGAAATTCCACTTGTCACTTCGATTTTAAAAGTGATGAGGGACAGCTCATCACTAGGGGGAGTAACACACAGAGACTGCGTGTTGGGAGCAATCTTCGTCAAGAGTCCTGCAAATTCTCTTGACATTGCTGGATCAGTAGGGTGCTCCGCCCCTACTGACCCTGACCGTTTTTGACGGTCCGACTTGCTGCCGCGGCTTAGCGACATGGTCGGACCCACGCCTTGGACCTTTCCTTGGCCGGCGGCGGTCATCACGTTCTGGCTTTGGACGTGATGTTGTGCTTGGCACAATACACTCATGAGCGTAGTGTCCAATCTTCTGACAGCGATGGCATGTTGCCGTTCGCTTTTGGCTCAGAGAGCGAAAGTTCTCGCTCTCGATACAGCAGAGGTCCATTGGTTCGGGACCCCCGGTTTCCTGTCGTCTCGTCGAACAAAAGTTTGACGAGTTATCCTGGGACTGTCTCAGGCTGAAGTCTTCTTGTTCCGCATACGCTATCGCCCTTTCCAGCGTATGGAAGTCCTCTTGGAACATGTAGGTCTTTACTAGCTCATCCACAAGGCCGTAGATGAGCAAGTTGATGAGCTTGTGCTCATCAACAGGGTTCTCAGTAACGCTACTCGCAAGGTAGCGCAGGTGCTGTGTGTAAGCGTGCACGTCACGCTTACCTTGCTTTAGCCTCAAGAGTGCAGAACGTGCTCTGAACTCGGCTCTCGGCGGATCAAACGTCTCTTTGAGCCGAGACTTCAAGATCCCCAACGACTCAAACACGTTTAGGTCGTGAAGCTTGAGCCCTTAGACCAAGTCTTTGCCCGTCCTGTCAAATTTGACAGGGCGAAGGTGACTTGCAGCTCGTCACCCTCTATGTGACGGGCCCTGATGGCGTCGTCTAACTCGACGAACCATCTCAAAAGGGAATCTTCATCGGTCCCCTTGTATCTTAAAATGTCTATCTTCAAGGTTTCAGGTCGACGCATGTGTGTCGGCCCGCCCATCGACTGATGAGAGCCTTGCTGCTGTAGCAATGCTATGTTCTGTCTTCCGACGGCAAGTTCCCTTGTAGGAACTTGTTGATAGCAGCATGTTGCTGGTATCTGCTTAGACCTCGACTCCACATGCCACTGATGGCGGTTTCGCCCATAAGCACACTCATGCGGCCGACTACCTCCCATTCCGAGTCACTCAGGTGGGAGTAGCCTTCACGTGTGACGTGAAAGCTGTCGTATTCTACGTCCAACATGTTCATGTTGGACGGACACTAGGCAGTCGTTGGACGGACTGCAAAGTGCTACCAGGTGTAACTAGGCACCCTTTGTTTGGGGTGCCGCGAAACTTCACGTACACTAGTACGTGCAGAGGAAGCTAAGCTACTTGAACGACTCGGTCAAGTAAAGGTAAAAAGAGAGCTGTATTTAATATAGTTAAGCTATGAATACAGCTTTAATCTTTATCTAACTATATTAAACTACGTCGTCGTGTGACGACAACCTGCTCACCACTCATTGCGCGCGTCTAGCAGCGATTGGTGGTTATCTATGGTTGATAAGTCTTTTATCAACCAAGCTTGGAGCAGCGAATGAATACGATCCAATAGGGGATAATTTTCCTTCAATATTACCCATCCCGGATGATATCGGTAGAATTTTGTTCTACTAGACAATGATCCAATTGACACCGTTTGGTGTCAATTTCATGTAACGGGATACCCCGTTACAGATATTGTCTGCGTGACACTTACTTGCCCATAATATTTTGTACAGGAAAAATTGAAGGAATACTATCCCCTTTTGGATAATGTTCATTCGCTGCTCCAAGATTGGTTGATAAATTACTTGTCAGCTATAGATTATCACCAATCGCTGCTAGACGCGCGCAATGAGTGGTGAGCAGGTTGTCGTCATACGACGACGTAGTTTAATATAGTTAGATAAAGATTAAAGCTGTATTCATAGCTTAACTATATTAAATACAGCTCTCTTTTTACCTTTACTTGACCGAGTCGTTCAAGTAGCTTAGCTTCCTCTGCACGTACTAGTGTACGTGAAGTTTCGCGGCACCCCAAACAAAGGGTGCCTAGTTACACCTGGTAGCACTTTGCAGTCCGTCCAACGACTGCCTAGTGTCCGTCCAACATGAACATGTTGGACGTAGAATACGACAGCTTTCACGTCACACGTGAAGGCTACTCCCACCTGAGTGACTCGGAATGGGAGGTAGTCGGCCGCATGAGTGTGCTTATGGGCGAAACCGCCATCAGTGGCATGTTGGAGTCTCTAAGCAGATACCAGCAACATGCTGCTATCAACAAGTTCCTACAAGGGAACTTGCCGTCGGAAGACAGAACATAGCATTGCTACAGCAGCAAGGCTCTCATCAGTCGATGGGCGGGCCGACGCACATGCGTCGACCTGAAACCTTGAAGATAGACATTTTAAGATACAAGGGGACCGATGAAGATTCCCTTTTGAGATGGTTCGTCGGGTTAGACGACGCCATCAGGGCCCGTCACATAGAGGGTGACGAGCTGCAAGTCACCTTCGCCCTGTCAAATTTGACAGGACGGGCAAAGACTTGGTCTAAGGGCTCAAGCTTCACGACCTAAACGTGTTTGAGTCGTTGGGGATCTTGAAGTCTCGGCTCAAAGAGACGTTTGATCCGCCGAGAGCCGAGTTCAGAGCACGTTCTGCACTCTTGAGGCTAAAGCAAGGTAAGCGTGACGTGCACGCTTACACACAGCACCTGCGCTACCTTGCGAGTAGCGTTACTGAGAACCCTGTTGATGAGCACAAGCTCATCAACTTGCTCATCTACGGCCTTGTGGATGGGCTAGTAAAGACCTACATGTTCCAAGAGGACTTCCATACGCTGGAAAGGGCGATAGCGTATGCGGAACAAGAAGACTTCAGCCTGAGACAGTCCCAGGATAACTCGTCAGCTTTTGTTCGACGAGACGACAGGAAACCGGGGGTCCCGAACCAATGGACCTCTGCTGTATCGAGAGCGAGAACTTTCGCTCTCTGAGCCAAAAGCGAACGGCAACATGCCATCGCTGTCAGAAGATTGGACACTACGCTCATGAGTGTATTGTGTCAAGCACAACATCACGTCCAAAGCCAGAACGTGATGACCGCCGCCGGCCAAGGAAAGGTCCAAGGCGTGGGTCCGACCATGTCGCTAAGCCGCGGAAGCAATTCGGACCGCCAAAAAACGATCGGGGTCAGTAGGGGCGGAGCACCCTGCTGATCCAGCAATGTCAAGAGAATTTGCAGGACTCTTGACGAAGATTGCTCCCAACACGCAGTCTCTGTGTGTTACTGCCCTTAGTGATGAGCTGTCCCTCATCACTTTTAAAATCGAAGTGACAAGTGGAATTTCACTTCGCGCCCTAGTTGACTGTGGGGCGTCGAATAGTCTTATTCGACGCCACTCGCTAGTAAATGGTACGCTCAACTATGTTAAGCGAGAGTTCCCTCCAACGAGGATGACGGTATGCCTTGCTACAGGCGCATCCGTAACAGTGAACAAACGTGCAGTGGGAATCCACTACACGATAGACGGAAAGCAGTACGATGATGACTTTATCGTACTGGATTCGGATGAAAAATTTGATGTCATCCTTGGTCTGCTACGGCATAGAAAGTACCGGCCATGGGTTAGCTGGCAGCATACATCCGTGAAGATACCTGCCGTTTGCTCATCAGATGGCCATCTGATGAACGTATCGGAGCGTCCACAAGCGTGTGGGTGTACTACGAGTGAGTGCGATGGCATCACTTGTGGTACGGTCGTTAGTGCGACTGCACAAGATCATAGTGTAGAAGGCCAAGAAAACTGTGGAACCAGCTTCTGGCACCTGTGTAGAAACACAGGCTGCGCCGAAGGTTCACCACTCAAAGAGATCGAGTGGTATGGAACACGGATGAACACCAAGCAGGGAGCATCCAAGAAGAGAGATGAGTGCTGTTAAGGACGAACAACACGTTGAAGCAATATCGACTATCAGAGAGTCGATCGAAGAGAACGTGACTGTGGTAGTGCACCAACAGTCAGAACACGTACTGGGAGAAAGTTCCAGCGTTCTTGAGAGCAATGGCTCCCGAGAGAGTTATGTTCAGCGTGTGGATCCCCAACCACCTGCGAATGTGTTTCCCAGGAAATCACCGAGACAGTGAATGTCTTGGCGAATGACGGATCAAGTGTAGGCGCTTATACATTTGATCTGGTTACACCTCCGAAGTCAGATTCGGAGGTAATCAGGTTGACAACGCTAGAATCGAAAAGATTCTTGCGAGATCTGCGTAGTGACAAGATCAAGCAGATCTGCGTACTCGTCACAGAGGACGAGTACGTCGCCGATATTCGGTCGGCACAAGTGTGTGCTGAGAACGAACGGGTTCTCAGTAGCTCATCTATGGATGAGAGTGTCCTCGATGAGAAGACTCGGATTGAGCGATACACGTCTCGATCTTGGGAGTCTTTAAAGACAACTCCTTTGTACAAGGATTTGTTTTCAGGGATGTTTTTATGGGACCCGTGCCATGCGAGCTGCCTAAGGACAAGAGCACTCGACATGAGATCAAACTAAAACCTGGTTCGAAGTACTGTGTCATGAAGAAGTGGCCACTGCCTCGTGAACAGTTCGCAGCGCTCGACAAATTCTTTGCCGATTGTTTAGATGCTGGTCATGTGAGAGAATCAACATTCCCACACAGCTCTCCGACCTTCTGTGTGCGAAAGGCCACAGGAGGGTTGCGGATAGTGCACGCGTTCAACAAGTATACGCTGCAACGGTACTGGCTCAAACGCTGATACCGAGGAAGGACGTCATCATTGATGGTACGGCAAAAAGTAACATCTTATCGTTCATGGATCTGATGGATGGATTCTATCAGATCCTCATGCGTGAACGGGATGTACCTTACACAGCAGTGAGCACCCCCAGTGGTGTGCTCTAGGAGTGGCTAGTAATGCCACTACTAGCATTACTCATCGATACTATTTTCCGACTTCACGGGTTATCCCGTGAATTGGTGTCCGATAGAGACCCCCGCGTTACAGCGGAGTTCCGGCAATCCTTGTTCCGTTCACTTGGAATACGTTTGACGATGTCAACTTCTGACCATTCCGAAACAATTGGCCGAACGGAACGCTTTAACCGCGTTTTCGAAGAGATACTTTAAGGGTATGTCCACTCGTTCACGAGCTGGAGTGAGTTCTTGCCGATGACGGAGTTCGCCATCAACAACTCGGTGCACGCGTCAACAACGCATGCACCGTTCTTCGTGAATGGCCTACGCCATCCACGTTTACCCGCCTTATTAGAGTGTGACCTTAAGGGAGGGTGGACTCGCTCGAAAAAAAACGATCTGGTTCTTGCTCATCACCCGTCGACAATGGTGTCGACGTGATGGATGCCGATGGGATCGATGTCGATGATGACGATGTCGACGATGCTGGCATATTCAGCATCGCCAATGACCGCCAAAGTGAGGACAATGATACCCTCACTGGTACAAACAACGTCATTTCAGCAGTGCACACGAAGCGCACTGCTGTTGACAAGGATGAATCATCAGAGGAATTTCTGCTGACTCGCGAAGCAATTGTCCGCTTCGTTCAAGACGCTATTGCAGATGCATTAGACAGACAGAAGAGAAACGCAGACAAACATGGAAGAGCAAATGTTCTTTCATTTGATTAGGGATACCTATTTTTACTGTCTACAATTATTCTACCGAAACACGCAGTGACAAACGTGGGCAGCAGAAATTACTGCCCAGGTACATCGGACCATTTCGTGTGTTGCGCCGAATGGGCAACGCATGCACGATTGAACTGCCCCGTAAGATGCGCACGCATCCTACGTTCTACGTTGGTCGTCTCCGCCCGTACTATCAGTACGCGTTCGTTTCGAGATGCGAAGAACACTTCTGCGGTCGAGAGCCGAGACCACCTTCGAGTGGTCCTGTTTCAACGAGCCAGTCTGGTCGACTAGCGAAGCGACCTGCTCACGCAGCTGAGCGATGTCCTGACGAGCTGCAGCCAGCTCGGCACGAAGAGAACGAGTCAAACGCTCGTTTTCAAGTTGCGCGAACGCAAATGCGGCACGATCGTCCGAACGATCGTGCGTTAGGGAATTAAAATTATCCCTCACAAGATCCTCAAGCCCATAACGCCGAGAACTTTCATGAGCCAGGTCATCGTGCAACTGTTCCTTTACACGGTTCAGCTCTTGAACATCAACTTGATCCAACCCTGGAGCCGGATCAGGTGTTCCCGCCTCCACCACATCCTTCGGTGGACTCAAGCGGTGGTCAACGCTTTATAGTGGAGCGTATTTAGAACCATTGCGATGTGAATGGCGTCCGGACGAGTTACCTTGTCCGCTGGCGTGGCTACCCACCGGCGTGGGACAGCTGGGAGCCTCGTGCCCAGCTGATTGTTGATGTCCTTGGTCTTGTCGAACTGCTTGACAAGACCCACCCGCTGCGTTTGAAGAAGGGCCGTCGGAAAACGACCCTTCCGAACACGAGTACAGGGATTGCAAGGTGTCGATCCCTTCGGCCATCACGGGAGAGATGTGCGCCCTCCATTAGGGAACATTAGGGAAGTAGGCCTCCCTAAGGGCAAAGTTCGAGATGTCCAGGCAACTTGGACACGAATCAATCCTTGAGAAACAGGTAATCCTGCCTCTCTTGACAGCCGGTGGAACTTGTACCGCGCACCGACGGAGTTGCGTTTCTCAAACCTGATGCGAGCTGCATCAAGTTTGGCGAGCCAGCCTCACAGCCAATACACTCCATGTTGTGGATGAGGGCATTCCATCCCTGCACCAAGGCTTTGCCGTCTCGTACACGGCTACCATTGTACCACCGATGTTTGAAGAACGCATCGGTGAAGAACTCTTCCTCAGCACGGATAGTTTCCGGGCTGGAATCAGGCGGACAAATTTTCCTGCGATCGAACAACGGGATTCGATCCCGTTCGGTAGTCGTACCGGCCAGCCGGTCCAACTCTCTGGATGGCGGCATCCATGGAGACTCTACTTGCGGAGCGTGGCGCAGGACATTCTGGTCCCTGGACTCTTGATTGGTGCCAGCATGAGCACTGGCACCAGTGTTACCTCAATCCCTCGAGTTACTTCGCTCGTGGTGATGCTTAAAGGCATCACCGCCATCACCACGCGTCCTATCGTTGGATAAACTCGCGCGAGGCGGAGAATCATCGGAGTAATCACTCGATCCGAAGATTTCGATCGTGATGCTGCCGCGCTGACCAGAGCCAGTCAGCCTGGCTTTTGCAGCGTCCGCCCCGGGTGATACTGAGGCGTGAGGACTCGCCTTCGAGTCGGATGCATCATCCGACTCGCCAGAATAGATGAGCTCTATCTCAGACTCGTCTTAATTACGACCCGAGGTACCCGCTGCAGACGCAACGGATGAACCTGTCGCTCGTGGTGACTCACCACGTGGACGATCCACGACAACAGGCGACGAATTGCCTGCTGCTGAGACGTGAGAGGCACTTTCCGCAGCCGCACGCATGTGTGCAGCCGCTCTTGTTGCTGCTGCAGTAGCAGCTCGCGTGGTTTTTAAAGCCATGAGTTGGATTAGCAAATGAATGGAATTTGACCAACAAGTGCTCCCTTTCCCAGAGTGATTCAACGGTGGTCACCCTGTCCCAATCAATTCCAATTCAATCAACGGGTGACATATGGTTAAAAGAGGGGTGGTGTAACGGGGTAGCCCGTTACATGAAATTGACACCAAACGGTGTCAATAGGAATCTTGTCTAGCATGACAATATTCTACCAATAATAACCGAGATGGATAATGTTGAAGGAATATTATTCCGTTTTGGATAACATTCAATCGATGCTCCAAGATTGGTTGATGTAAGACATTTCAACAATAGATTGCCACCCATCCCTGCTAGACGCGCGCAATGAGTGGTGAGCAGGTTGTCGTCATACGACGGCGTAGTTTAATATAGTTAGATAAAGATTAAAGCTGTATTCATAGCTTAACTATATTAAATACAGTTCTCTTTTTACCTTTACTTGACCGAGTCGTTCAAGTAGCTTAGCTTCCTCTGCACGTACTAGTGTACGTGAAGTTTCGCGGCACCCCAAACAAAGGGTGCCCCGTTACAATATCCCTATTGACACCGTTTGGTTTTAATATCATGTAACGGGATACCCCGTTACACTATTAATTGAAGTGTATTTTAAGTACAAATCTGATTAAGCGCTTGTGACTGTTTGATGTCGGTGTGTTGTTGCCCAAAGTACATTGTATTCTCCTATGTTGCTAAGTCTGCTTGGCTCGGCTCTTTGGTCATCATGAGGGACACTCCGCAGAGGCAAAGTGAAATCAGAAATATTGCCCGGGCTGCAGATAGGGGGCTTAAGTGGCAGAAATCGCCGGGCACCACACCGATCGCTGCCGTATGGACCGTTGACTTTTCGGACCGGACCGATCAAAACCAAGTTCTAGGCAAGTTCACTGCTTGGGATCAAGATTCATGCTCGGCGAACGGGTCGGCTACTCCAAGGCTGACGCAAATTTGTAAAAACAAGGTAAAAGGGGATAACTGCTGTTACTGTGCTCTTTCCTCCAGGTGTTCTGGATTTTGCTCTTCTATTTGTTCGCACGCTGTGCTGCTTCCTGTAGCGCACGCAAAGGAAAGTACCCGCTTTAATTGGGCCCTCAAGATAGGGTATTTCACGCCCATGGTAAGGGGGCTGTTCGCCCAGCCTTTTAGAGGTTTTCGTTGCTTGGCCGTTGTTGCCCGATGGCGCAAATTTGAAAATGGTACAACTAACAGTGATTTTGTCGGACTGCAATCTTCGTCACCTGGCATGCGGCCTTTCAACGGTCTATCTGTTACCACACCACATGCTGCGCTTTTTCGATGTGCTGCAGAACAACTAAATGTATTCCTACGTAGTAAATGGATCGTAACTGATGGTGCTTCTAAGTTTTCAGGGCCTGAACAATAGCCAGACTCTGCATAAGTTTCTATATGACACCTAGCTTACAGCATTTTCCATTTGCAAATTCGTATTGACTTAATCAAGCGTTAAAACACGAGCATAACATATGACCACGCTGTCGCGGTAAGTTTCTACTTGACCGTAGCTAAACTCATTTGTTCTAGTTAGTCATACGGACTAGCATGTTACGGAAGAATATTTCTTTGAATCGGTTAAGTTCTTATCGAATTATAATGTCAGTAAATGCGTGCCATGTCAAATTAGTAACAAAGGCATGAATTTTTCTATTTTTTTATTTCAAGCACTGTTAAATTCGCGGATAACGGGGCACTTTTTTAACGTGCCGTGGTTATTGCGAGCTTGAAGGGCTGAGATGTTAGTAACAGTACGCACGGTGTAACAAGGTAAGCTTGTAAATGAAATTTACTCTTGATACTTGGTAATCCGTATAATATTCTAAGAGTGATAATGTTCGTGAATGTTAGTGTAAGGGGCAATGTTTAGACACTTACCAAACAGCAGCCATCATACCTTCCAGCTATAGCAGTCCAATCAAATACGGACGAGTGCAATGAGTGGTGAGCAAGCCCTGGTATACATTATTGTTAAAGATAGGCATATTGAGTGCGGACTAAAACATAGGTTATGATCGAAACTCAATTATATTTAATAGAGTCTTACTTATACCAGCAACTAGTCAGTTCTTAGTTGCTTTCATTTCCTCTGCGTAGTTTACTGAGGTAGTGAGGCACGACTCACACTGTTGTTGGTGAGAGTAGCTCCACATTGGTTGTATAGTGTGTTGATTCGATGCCCCGTTACACAAAATAAATGCCAAACTCTAAATCTTAAACTTATCTGTTAATGTTTATGGAAATAATGCGGTTAGGCGTGATTAACACGTACTAAGTGCGATCTACCCTGTCCCCCTCATAGGTATACAGGTATACATATAGCCATATTTTGGCTAGGTCGCTATTGTGGCGCACACGTGTGATCGGATAAAATCGACCAAAGATGAACATGATTACATAGGCAAATGCTGGACGCTTAACGGCAAAAGCTGATCGCGTCGCTTGAGCAAACTGTACTGGCTTGATACAGGTAGTAACAGCAACGTACTCGATCTTCAGTGACTGCTGTTAAAACGTGTTATTTTGCAATTTTTTAGGCTCTACGAACTGAATTTCAAGTATCACGAGAGAGATTTATGCCGCGCGGTCCTTCAGATCACCCTGGGGTGAACTGCGAGTACTCTGACTCAGTTTGAACTCCTTACAGGACCCGCACCCCTCATTACACTATGGGGCTTTAAGGCTTGTAGGGCCTCCGGACGGCACCGGCCACCCATTGGTGGTTGCTCGTCTACATTATTAGCCTATCTCCGACGCCCTGTAATCGACCCCCCACCGGGTATCGATCCAGGTACCTCCCGGTCCCAGTTCCAGCGGTCTACCACTCGGCAAGAGAACGGGACTGCATCCGTTTTGATAACAGCATTGCGAGCCGCCCACCGTGGGGCTCGAACCCACGACCACAAGATTCAAGTATCACGAGAGAGCACCACAGCTTGCACACCTATCTTTATACCCTTATCGTATTTTATGAGGCTTATTTGCGCAATATAAATGTCGTGACCCCTTCACATCCGTCTTCTTGCGCACACTGTTGAGTACATTGCAAAAGTAAGGCTGATTTCCATTCATTGATAAACGATAACGTAACTATTTGTTGGCTTTAGGACAATAGAACATACGCGCTTTCATGAGGAGCTGCATCTACAGTGCGCAATTTTAGTACGGAATTTTTAGTACTGTATGTGGGCCTTGACATCGTCATTCGCAAACGTCATCGGATGACGCCGAGCTCGATCGTCTTTAAGAGACGTCAATCCTTGATGACGTAAAATAGTGACGTCATTAGATGAGGTAAAGTAGTGGGGTCGTAATCATTATCCGATTGTGACGTCATCAAATGACGTAAACTTAGTGACATCCTTTGATGTCGTCAACTTAGTGACATCCTTTGATGACGTCAAACTTAGACGTCCTTTGATGACGTCAAACTCAGACGTCTTTTGATGACGTCAAACTACGACGTCCTTTGATGACGTCAAACTATGACGTCGAATAGTGAGTTATTGCTGTATTTTAAACACGCGAGAGGTCCTGGTGTGTACCTCACTACGAATCTGGGCCCTGTTCAGAGCCCTACGATTAAGTGTTAGTGGCAGTATTGACACTTAACAAATTGGTCTGGATTAAAAGAGTAAATTATGGAGTAAAACTTCTTAATCTCTTCTCCCACACTTCAATTTGCTCACCACCACCCAATTGGTTTCTGAAAATCACAGTGTCAGTCCACCGTGATGATACGTTACCACTTCGTCCTCTTATTAAGCATTGTGCTGTTCATCGTGTCTCGCAGTTCTCCAGCCATCGGTACATCTTTCGGGACGTCTGACGCTTCAGGTGTGGTGGACGACGTGTCTGCTGAGCGGTCGGATGAGGCTTCGATGGTAATGTCCGGTAGGGACGAAAATCGCATCTGGAACTTCATAGGACAACTATTGGAGGTGCTTGCCAACCCCCTAAAGTTGATGCAGCAGCTGCGTTTTGAGAAAGCGCTCAAAGGCGTAACTTCAATCAATAAAGCCTACAAAATCTTAAAGCTAAAGCAACTCAAGTTCGACTCCATCTATCTCAAGCCGACGCAAGAATCTGGGGGGGAGAAGCCCAAGCGCGCTCTACCTAATGAACAAGCTCTGCTCTACTTCGGAAGTCCCCGCTTTCGAGCTTTCTTCAATTGGGCTAAGCGAAATGCAAAGTCCCCAGCTGCTGCTCATCTTCTTGTGGCTGAACACCTCGAATATAAGCTGGGTAGGCGAAGAACTCTGGAGTGGCTGTATTTGGCGCAATTAATGGGGTCGGGAAGAACGTACAAGATCGCAGAAGCGTTGCAAAGTGCTTTAAACGACAAGTGGCGCTTCAAGTACGAGAGCGGAGACGCTCTGAGAAGAACACTTTGGGGCCCATCGAGCGCTGAAGACAAAGGCCTCCGTCCTCATCTCGAGAATGACGTCGTTCAACTGTACCTGGCAATAAACAAGCGGAAGGCTATCAAAACGATGAGAAAGCGTCCATGGATCATCTGAAGGCCCGCCAAACGCGTGTCGCATCAACAAGTGGATAGCGCTCCCTCGTTGTTATGCAATTGTCACTCACACGTCTTTATTGTTTTTGCTTAGAGGTGGTAATTCTAATCGAGACTAGTCTTCACAATGACGCACAGTTCTGTGGAGCGTACGGAATTGTAGCACATCATATTAGTTCAGTGTCACACTTTTATGCAGGCTGCAAATTGGTTCAGGCATACGAACGTTTATACGCTTACAGTTGACTTACTATTTATTAAAAATTTTGAATTAGTGTTTAACACAAATAGAAACAATCACCTTGCTGCCACAACATTGTGAAATGCTTGCGGCCGTGACATAGTTTATTGGCCACACCACGGTATTTTAATCAAGTCGTGTCAGGTCATCACCCGGTTGTTGAGCGTACGCAGTAATTGTAGCCACAAAAATAGGACGTCGCATGATAGGCGACAAGTCTACACAAAAGACAAGAACAAGACAGGAAAGCCTAACTTCTATTGGCTGTCTACTATTGTGTTTAAAGCTCGAGTACATACGACGGTGGACGTGCTTGAGGCGTCAACATCACTCTATTAGTTGGCGAACGCGACAAGGTCGTCGGAAAAGATCAACAACTATAGAAGTTGTTGTAAAGGCAGTCCATGACATATCGCAAGCATCTACCGTACGGGCTACCGAAAATTTTATAAAGCGGTGGCTACGGTGTTTTGACATGCAGAAAATGCGGCTTATCAAACAGGGCAGCTACTGTAGCGTAATGACTTTCTCAGACACGAGACGAAATAATGATTGCCGCGTCAAGACATGTGCTATGCCGATATAGCTACAGCGAACTAGGCTTTTTTCGGAATGCTTGTCATGGTCTGCTGGAGCGACCATGGATCAAAAGTTTGTCGAGTTCGTGAAGCTTCACCGACGTATTAATGAACTAACTTAAGGCCACATGACCTGATTGAATAAGCTGAATATTTTGCTTTCGGTTGGTATTCCTACGCCCTCTTAGCAACAGCATTGTCATACCTTTTTCGATTCATGTGTCACTATCCGTTCTGTAAGCTAATGTGGACAGCATCCATCACCGAAGAAATCGCCGTGCTCAGCAGCGTTGGTTCTGACCAAGCGTAAGCAACTGTAGTTCGCCATCTTGAAACCAAGTCGCGTTCCGAATCATCGAGCGTAATCTCACTCGTCGACTATATCACCCGCCATGCTCAGGAGCTTCCGACGACAAATGCTTGGACTGCTTCGTGAGCAGATTGAGAAAAAAACAGCGGCTCACAGTGGAAAGAGAAGCCACAAGAATATTTACTTTTCGACTAGAAGCAACACATGCAACCCTCAGTGGTAAGCGACTGAAACTTAGGTTAGAAAACTTAGCAACAAGAAGGAATTTGGCGTTATTACATCGCAAAAAAAGCAACACCAGCCACCGCCGCGCATCAGCTCAATGTATGACTAAAAAGACATTATAGTCATACCTCGGATACTCATCGACTTGTTGGAGATAAATTCTATAGATTATACTATTTCAGAGTACATAATTTCTACATTTTTTTTTTTTGAAAAGGAGAAATCAGTAGTTTAAATGTTATTCCTTTAAATTTTAATATAACCATGCCCCACGTACTATCAATAATGCACGTAAGACTCGAGATTTGCCATTACATGGCTTAGAATATATATGTATATATATACATATACATGTATATATGAGTTAGAGTTTCTAGCAAATTAGGCTTTCAGCTAATTAGTATTTCAGATCACCCAGAATTGTGTCTGTCTTATAATCTAGAAGCGCACTGATATAGAATCTATGACAGCCAGCTAAATTTTTGCCTAAGGTTCATGAGGTGCTCATAACTTAAGCAAACGAGAAACCGATCAACTTAGGTGATTCAACGCCTAGCAATATATGTTTCCTTGAATGAGAAAATAAACGACATTAAGGCTAAGGTGTTTTCTAAGAGTCTTAGCCTACATGAGAATACCATCATGTTCTCCATTATACATCCGCAACGCTATAAGCAGCGATCAAGCTACGCATTACCACAATTTACGCGAGAGTAGATCAGCAATAAGGAAGCCGTTACTGTAGCATGCCTGGGCTTCGGGCTTTACTGTCCCGATTTAAGCCCTGCGATGTTTTATAAATGACACAAAAAATTGTGTGAAAATAAAAATATCTCTATTTTTGCTGATGTTGTTCAATGCTCAAATGATTTAGGCCTAATAAGAGACGACAGTTTTAAGACACATGATTGAGGTTTCAAGAAATAGGATGTAAGATGTGTTTTAATTGCTAGCTTTTCATTAAAGTTTAGACAAAAAGTGAGACCATCGCACTCACTCGTAGTACATCCACCTACTTGTGGACGCTCCGATACGTTCATCAGATGGCCATCTGATGAACAAACGGCAGGTATCTTCACGGATATAGCTGCCAGCTAATTCATGGCTGTTGCTTTCTAAGCCATGACAGACCGAGGATGATATCAAATTTGTCATCCAAATCCAGTACGATGAATTCATCATCGTACTGCTTTCCTTCTAGCGTGTAGTGGATTCCCACTACACGTTTGTTCACTGTTACGGAGGCGCCTGTTGCAAGGCACACCGTCAATCTTGTTTAAAGGATATCTCGCTCAACATAGTTGAGCCTACCATTTGCTAGCGAGTGGCGTCGAATAAAACTATTCGACGCCCCACAGTCAACTAGGGCGCGAACTGACATTCCACTTGTCACTTCGATTTTAAAAGTGATGAGGGACACGTCATCACTAGGGGTAGTAACACACAGCGTCTGTGTATTTGGAGCTATCTTTGTCATGAGTCCTTCAAATTCTCTTGACGATGCTAGATCAGCAGGGTGCTCCGCCCCTACTGACCCTGATCGTTTTTTGGCGGTCTAAATTGCTTCCGCGGCTTAGCGACATGGTCGGCCTCGCGCCTTGGACCATTTCTTGGCCAACGGCGGTCATCACGTTCTGGCTTTGGACGTGATGCTGTGCTTGGGACAATACACTCATGAGCGTAGTGCCCAATCTTCTGACAGCGATGGCATGTTGCCATTTGCTTGCGAATCAGAGAGCGAGAATAATCGCTCTCGATACAGCAGAGGTCCATTAGTTCGGGACCTCCGGTTTCCTGTCGTCTCGTCGGACGATATTTTGACGAGTTAGCCTGAGACTGTCTCAGGGTGAAGTCTTCTCGTTCCGCATACGCTGTCACCTTTTTCAGTGTATGGAAGTCCTCTCGGAACATGCAGGTCTTCACCGGTCTATCTACAAGGCCGTAGATGAACACGTGATGAGTGTGTGATCATCAACAGGGTTTTCCGTGATGCTACTCGCAAGGTAGCGTAGGTGTAGTGAGTAAGCATGCACATCACGCTTAACTTGCTTGAGCCTCAAGAGTGCAGAGCGTGCTCTGAACTCGGCTCGTGGCGGCTCAAACATCTCTTTGAGTCGACACTTCAAGATCTCTAACCACTCAGACACGTTTGGGTCGTAAAGCTTGATCCCTAAGGCCCAAGTCTTTGCTCGTCCTGTCAAATTTGACAGGGCGAAGGTAACTTGCATCTCGTCACCCTCGATGTGACGGGCTCTGATGGCGTCGTCTAACTAGACGAACCGTCTCAAAAGGGGATCTTCATCGGTTCCCTTGTATCTTAAAATGTCTATCTTCAAGGTTTCAGGTCGACGCATGTGCGTCGGCCCGCCCATCGACTGATGAGAGCATTGCTGCTGTAGCAATGCTATGTTCTGTCTTCCGACGGCAAGTTTCCTTGTAGGAACTTGTTGATAGCAGCATGTTGCTGGTATCTGCTTAGAGACTCCAACATGCCACTGATGGCAGGTTCTCCCATGAGAGCACTCATGCGGTCGACTATCTCCCGTTTTGAGGCACTAAGATGGGAGTAGCCTTCACGTGTGACGTGAAAGCTGTCGTCTTCTACGTCCAACATGTTCATGTTGGACGGACTACGAAGTGCTACCAGGTGTAACGGGGCACCCTTTGTTTGGGGTGCCGCTAAACTTCTCGTTCACTAGTACGTGCAGAAGAAGCTAAGCTTCTTAAAGGGCTAGTCTGAGTAAAGGGTAAAAAAAGAGAACTATATTTAATATAGTTAAGCTAACAACATAACATCTGTATTTATCCAACTATGTTAATCTACATCGTCTTATGACGACAATCTTCTCACCACTCGTTACGCGCGTCTAGCAGCTATTGGTGGTAACCTTGGTTGATGCGTCTTTATCAACCAATCTTCGAGCAGCGCATGAAACGTATCCTACAAAGTATATAATGTCCCTTCAATATTATCCATCTCGGATAATACTGATAGGGAATTGTCACGCTGGACAGCGTCTATTGACACCGTTTGGTGTCAACATCATGTAACGGGCAACCCAGTTAAACATTCCGATCCATCTGGTAGTACTTTGTAGTCCGTCGAACGACTGCTTCGTGATCGTCCGACGTGAATTTGTTGGACGTAGAAGACGACTGCTTTCACTTCACACGTGAAGGCTACTCCCATCTTAGTGCCTCAAAACGGGAGATAGTCGACCGCATGAGTGTTCTCATGGGAGAACCTGCCATCAGTGGCATGTTGGAGTCTCTAAGCAGATACCAGCAACATGCTGCTATCAACAAGTTCCTACAAGGAAACTTGCCGTCGGAAGACAGAACATAGCATTGCTACAGCAGCAATGCTCTCATCAGTCGATGGGCGGGCCGACACACATGCGTCGACCTGAAACCTTGAAGATAGACATTTTAAGATACAAGGGAACCGATGAAGATCCCCTTTTGAGATGGTTCGTCGAATTAGATGACGCCATCAGAGCCCGTCACATCGAGGGTGACGAGATGCAAGTTACCTTCGCCCTGTCAAATTTGACAGGACGAGCAAAGACTTGGGCCTTAGGGATCAAGCTTTACGACCCAAACGTGTCTGAGTGGTTAGAGATCTTGAAGTGTCGACTCAAAGAGATGTTTGAGCCGCCACGAGCCGAGTTCAGAGCACGCTCTGCACTCTTGAGGCTCAAGCAAGTTAAGCGTGATGTGCATGCTTACGCACTACACCTACGCTACCTTGCGAGTAGCATCACGGAAAACCCTGTTGATGATCACACACTCATCACGTGTTCATCTACGGCCTTGTAGATAGACCGGTGAAGACCTGCATGTTCCGAGAGGACTTCCATACACTGAAAAAGGTGACAGCGTATGCGGAACGAGAAGACTTCACCCTGAGACAGTCTCAGGCGAACTCGTCAAAATATCGTCCGACGAGACGACAGGAAACCGGAGGTCCCGAACTAATGGACCTCTGCTGTATCGAGAGCGATTATTCTCGCTCTCTGATTCGCAAGCAAATGGCAACATGCCATCGCTGTCAGAAGATTGGGCACTACGCTCATGAGTGTATTGTCCCAAGCACAGCATCACGTCCAAAGCCAGAACGTGATGACCGCCGTTGGCCAAGAAATGGTCCAAGGCGCGAGGCCGACCATGTCGCTAAGCCGCGGAAGCAATTTAGACCGCCAAAAAACGATCAGGGTCAGTAGGGGCGGAGCACCCTGCTGATCTAGCATCGTCAAGAGAATTTGAAGGACTCATGACAAAGATAGCTCCAAATACACAGTCGCTGTGTGTTACCACCCCTAGTGATGACGTGTCCCTCATCACTTTTAAAATCGAAGTGACAAGTGGAATGTCAGTTCGCGCCCTAGTTGACTGTGGGGCGTCGAATAGTTTTATTCGACGCCACTCGCTAGCAAATGGTAGGCTCAACTAAGTTGGGCGAGATATCCTTTAAACAAGATTGACGGTGTGCCTTGCAACAGGCGCCTCCGTAACAGTGAACAAACGTGTAGTGGGAATCCACTACACGCTAGAAGGAAAGCAGTACGATGATGAATTCATCGTACTGGATTTGGATGACAAATTTGATATCATCCTCGGTCTGTCATGGCTTAGAAAGCAACAGCCATGAATTAGCTGGCAGCTATATCCGTGAAGATATATTAAAATGTAAAGGAATAACATTTAAACTACTGATTTCTCCTTTTCACAAAAAGTTTTCTAACCTAAGTTTCAGTCTCTTACCACTGAGGGTTGCATGTGTTGCTTCTAGTCGAAAAGTAAATATTCTTGTGGCTTCTCTTTCCACTGTGAGCCGCTGTTTTTTTCTCAATCTGCTCACGAAGCAGTCCAAGCATTTGTCGTCGGAAGCTCCTGAGCATGGCGGGTGATATAGTCGACGAGTGAGATTACGCTCGATGATTCGGAACGCGACTTGGTTTCAAGACGGTGAACTACAGTTGCTTACGCTTGGTCAGAACCAACGCTGCTGAGCACGGCGATTTCTTCGGTGATGGATGCTGTCCACATTAGCTTACAGAACGGATAGTGACACATGAATCAAAAAAGGTATGACAATGCTGTTGCTAAGAGGGCGTAGGAATACCAACCGAAAGCAAAATATTCAGCTTATTCAATCAGGTCATGTGGCCTTAAGTTAGTTCATTAATACGTCGGTGAAGCTTCACGAACTCGACAAACTTTTGATCCATGGTCGCTCCAGCAGACCATGACAAGCATTCCGAAAAAAGCCTAGTTCGCTGTAGCTATATCGGCATAGCACATGTCTTGACGCGGCAATCATTATTTCGTCTCGTGTCTGAGAAAGTCATTACGCTACAGTAGCTGCCCTGTTTGATAAGCCGCATTTTCTGCATGTCAAAACACCGTAGCCACCGCTTTATAAAATTTTCGGTAGCCCGTACGGTAGATGCTTGCGATATGTCATGGACTGCCTTTACAACAACTTCTATAGTTGTTGATCTTTTCCGACGACCTTGTCGCATTCGCTAACTAATAGAGTGATGTTGACGCCTCAAGCACGTCCACCGTCGTATGTACTCGAGCTTTAAACACAATAGTAGACAGCCAATAGAAGTTGGGCTTTCCTGTCTTGGTAGTGTCCATTGTAACTGGACACCCTTTGTTTGGGGTGCCGCGAAAATTCACAAGAACTATTACATGCAAAGGAAGCTAATTTACTTAAACAGAATTCGAGGGAAGAGTAAAAAGAGAACGGTAGTTAAAACAGAATCAATATTGATGGCTTAACTATATTTAATATAGTTAGGCTAACAACATAACATCTGTATCTATCTAACTATGTTAATCTACATCGTCTTATGACGACAATCTTCTCACCACTCATTACGCGCGTCTAGCAGCTATTGGTGGTAACCTTAGTTCATACGTCTTTATCAACCAATCTTCGAGCAGCGTATGAAACGTATCCTACAAAGTATATAATTTCCCTTCAATATTATCCATCTCGGATAATACTGATAGGGAATTGTCACGCTGGACAGCGTCTATTGACACCGTTTGGCGTCAACATAATTTAACTGACTACCCCGTTACGTCACTTCCCCCTCTTACCCATCAATCAACCGTTAATTAAATTTAATTGATTGGTACTGGGTGACCACTTCCCATCACTTTAGGAAGGGCAGAACTTGCTGGTTAAATTTCAACTAATTTGACGAATTATCGCATGGTGTCAAAGTCCTTGCGATGTAATGCCGAAGCAGCTAGAAAAGCGGTTGCACGCATGCGTGCATCCGAAGAGGGTGTTTCTCTTGCTTCAGCAGCAGGTAATCCTTCGTCTGCTGTAGCGATTCAGCGACAGGCTGTACCTGTTGTGAACAGTTCACGTGGTGAGTCGCCACGTGGGACAGATTCATCTGCTTCGTTTGCAGCGGGTACTGCGGGTACTGCGAATCACAATGTAGACGAGCCTGAAACAGAGCTCATCTATTCTGGCGAGTCGGATGCATCATCCGACTCGAAGCCAAAACCTCTTACCTCCGGATCATCCGGGGAGAACACTCAAAGAGGAAGGTTGATTGGTTCCGGGAAACGTGGCGGCATCGTGTCCGAGATCTTCGGACCGAGTGATTCTTCTGACGAATCCTCGCCTCACGCAAGTCCATACGACGATAGGGCGCGTGGTGATGGTGGCAATGCACCTATACATCGCCACGAGAGAAGCAACTCGAAGGATCGAGCTGCAACTGGTGTCAGTGCTCGTGCTGATACCACTCAAGAGCCCAGGGACCGAAATGTACAGCGCCACGCTCCTTAAGTGAAGTCTCCTTGGACTTCCGTTATATTAAAGAGTTAGACTGCTAGGCTGGCATGACCACCGAACGGGATCGCATCCCGTGGTTCGCCTGTAGGAATATTTGCCCACCTGATTCCAGCACGGATAGTTTCCGTGCTGATGAAGAGTTCTTCACCGATGCGTTTTTCAAACTTCGGTGATACAATGGCAACCGTGGTCGAGACGACAAGGCCTTAGTTGCAAGGATGGAATGCCCTCATCCACAACATCGAGTGTATTGGCTGTGAGGCTGACTCGCCAAACTTGATGCAGCTCGCATCAGGTTTGAGAAACGCAACTCCGTCGGTGCGCGGTACAAGTTCCACCGGCTGTCAAGAGAGGCAGGATTACCTGTTTCTCAAGGATTGATTCGTGTCCAAGTTGCCTGGACATCTCGGACTTTGCCCTTAGGGAGGCCTACTTCCCTAATGTTCCCTAATGGAGGGCGCAAATCTCTCCCGTGATGGCCGAAGGGATCGACACCTTGAAATCCCTGTACTCGTGTTCGGAAGGGTCGTTTTCCGACGGCCCTTCTTCAAACGCAGCGGGTGGGTCTCGTCGTTCTGCTCGACGATACCCAGAACATCACGATCAGCTGGGCACGAGGCTCCCAGCTGTCCCAGGCCGGTGGATAGCCACGCCAGCGGACAAAGTAACTCGTCCGGACGCCATTCACATCGCGGTAGTCCAAAATGCGCTCCACTAGAAAGCGTTGACCACCGCTTGAGTCCACCAAAGGATGTGGTGCTGGCGGGCATATCTGATCCAGCTTGAGGGTCGGATCAGCTTGATGGTTAGGAATAATTGCAATTCCTTAGCGCACGATCGTTCAGGAGATAGTGCCGCATTTGCATTCGCGCAACTTGAAAACGAGCGTTCGACTCGTTCTCTTCGTGCCGAGCTGGCTGCAGCTCGTCAGGACATCGCTCAGCTGCGTGAGCAGGTCGCTTCGCTAGTCGACCAGACTTGCTCGTTGAAACGGGATTACTCGAAGGTGGTCTCGGCTCTCGACCGCAGACGTGTTCTTCGCATCTCGAAATGGGCTCGTACTGAAAGTACGGGCGGAGAAGTCCAACGTAAACCGTAGGATGCGTACGCATCTACGGGGCAGTTCAATCGTGCATGCGTTGCCCATTCGGCGCAACACAAGAAATGGACCATTATACTTGGGCGGTAATTTGCTGCTGCCCACGCTTGTCGTTAAGTGTTTCGGTAGAATAATTGTAGACAGTAAAAATAGGTCTCCTTCATCAAATGAAAGAACATTTGCTCTTCCATGTTTGTCTGCGTTTCTCTTCTGTCTGTCTAATGCATCTGCAATAGCGTCTTGAACGAAGCGGACAATTGCTTCGCGAGTCAGCAGAAATTCCTCTGATGATTCATCCTTGTCAACAGCAGTGCGCTTCGTGTGCACTGCTGAAATGACGTTGTTTGTACCAGTGAGGGTATCATTGTCCTCACTTTGGCGGTCAATTGCGATGCTGAATATGCCAGCATCGTCGACATCGTCATCATCGACATCGATCCCATCGGCATCCATCACGTCGACACCATTGTCGACGGGTGATGCGCAAGAACCAGATCGGTTTTTGTTCGAGCGAGTCCACCCCCACCTTAAACTAGAGTCACACTCTAATAAGGCGGGTAAACGTGGATGGTATAACGGGCTAGAATAATTCGTACTTAGCTTACACTATCCTACGCTTTGAGGAAGCCTCAAAGCCCAAGTCTTAGGTAGTACTTTTAGCTCTGTTTTATATTTTGTCTATTAATCATCCTAAATACGAATGGTTCCCTTGGACTCATGGGAACCACTCGATCTACGTGCCTATATCTTACTGGCTAATAAAGGTACTGAGCCCATTAAACCAGCTAAAATATACGACTTGCTACTTTCTCTACTTCGAAAGTAACACCCCTACTTTAGTAACATGTAAACTAAATCGAAACTACTTATTTAACGGGGTGGCCCATTGCATCACCCCCCTTCTCACGACAGCACTCACGAACCGTGAGGGCTCAACCACAAGACCCAACGGACGCACAAGCCAAACGATGACTGAAGACGCAAACGCCATTACCACAGCACTCCCGCGCACTGTCAGCGGGAGTTCGATTGACCACGTGATGGATCAGCACCTGATCCCTTGGGCGCTGTACGACTTGTCCGGAGCTCGAGCTCCGGACTCTCTTGAGACTATGCAGGATTTTTTCCGGTGTTTCCGTGGATTGCGTGGGAAGCGTCTTGGTGGTATCTCGTACGAGTCACTCTAGCGGTCTTGGTGTGCATTCATCCGGCGGCAGAACCAGATGCTCGAAGACGAAAGAAACCTTCAGCAGTGGCTTGCCAACCGCGAAGATATCCATGCCGATCACTCAATTGGTGTACTGCGCGAGAAGATATGCAAGAACGCGTGGAACGTAGATCGACTCTGCTACGTTCACGTGCACGAATCTTGTTACTCCTGTGACTCGACGCCTCGTCCAACTCGCGAAACTTGGCAACGGCACGATGCTGAGTATCCACTCAGCGAATTTGAACAGCTCTGTATCGGACGGTATGAGCGCAGCTTGATGGAGTGCAAGACCGCGATAAATCGTGGCGCGTCACGCTGGCGACACCACTCGCGTCCTCGAGGTCGTGGTGCCACGTGCTCGCCACGACGTTCTAGCTCGCGTGGTCTTGGCGATACACGTTCAACACGACGTTCTTGTCGTCGTTCTACATCTCGACGTCGTTCTACATCTCGTCGTCGCCGTGATGTTTCACCACGACGTTCTCGCAATCGCTCTTGATCTCGTATCGTGGTGACGCTTTACCACGACACACTAGTCGTTCGTCTCATTCTCGCTCACCGCGAGAACACTCAGGTCGTCGACTGAATCTAAACCAAGCGTCTTCCCGGACTCGCAAGCCCGAACGACGTCTAGAACGTCTCAAAGAAGCGAAGAGCGCGGCTCCCACGTATCCCGCTCGGGTGGAAACTCGAGCAAACGTGCACGATACTTGCGCGCGGTTGGAACCGCGCGCTCATGGAGTCACGACGATTTCGTTTTGCGACGAGGATCCTCGTGACCCAATAAGCGTTCCACGATCCAGCGCTTCTGACCCCCCGCGTCCACAAGCGGTGGTGGGCCCTCGCGATGTTACTGCTGGCGTCTTGGTTGCTCAGGACGATGTAGACACAGCTCTGAACAAGGCTGTCGATGCCCAGCTGGAAGCTGAAGCTGCCTTTGATCGATCTGCGCGGGCTGAGAGAGCAGCGAGCGAGACTCGACAGTCGTACCGCGAGCTGCTTGAACGGATGCGGAACCTGGAACGCCAGGATCTTGGGCACGCGCAGGCTGGGACGCAGCCGGATTCGATGTCGCTGGCGAGTCGAGCAAGGCGAGAGGGAAGTTCGACCTATGAGCCTTTGACTCCAAGGACGGACCCAACCCGTGAAGCGTAGCTGGACGATACTCGTTGAGCCGCCCGACGTAAAATGTCGGGTGAAGTCGCAGTGACGAAAGGGTGTCCAGCGTATGTGCGTCACCGATCGCCTTGAGTACCGTGAATGGTCCGATAAAACGTGGCGCGAGTTTGATCGCGGCGAGATTATTTACTGCTAAATCTTGTAGGCCTTCAGTGGATAATAATACACGATCACCCTTTCTATGGTACTCGTGTCCTTTCTGCCACGTTTGTCTGCATTCGCTTTCCTTTTATCCACTGCAGATAGAAGAGCATCGCGTATAAACCTCGTGACGCTTGACGTTGGAGTCTAAACTCTAACACAGCCATGTCATGAATTGGTCGCGCCAATTCAATCGGCGCGTAGCTGGCTTGAGGTCTTCGCATACCCAAAGAAGGGCCAAACAGCGTCTGTGCAGTCCATTGGGCTAGCGGGGACGCCACGTCACGTGGCGTCAAAACAGAAGGCTTCACCTTGATTTGGGTGTCAAAAATTGGCCCTCAGAATACTGTGAGCTGCACTCGATCGTTGTTTACCACTATCACCCTATCCAGAGTGGATCCACGAAGAGCCGTGGGTTGACCCACGGCAAGAAGAGTAGGTACACGAGGATGGCGGGCCGAATTTGCAAAAAATGGCGTCAATTCCGTTGACGCGTGAGCCGCGTTTTTAAGTGCAAACTCCGCGAGTGGCGAAAATTCACTCCAACTCGTAAAGGAAGTTGCGTAATTTCGAAGAACAGCTTCAAGTACCCGATTAACCGTCTCTGTTTGCCCATCCGTTTCCGGATGGGCTGCTTTCGACATTTGCAGCTTTGTGCCTAGGAACTAGAACAATGACGTCCAAAAAGCGGATGTGAAACGAGAAACACGGTCCGAGACAACAATTTCTGGTAGACCGTGATGGCGAAACGCAGTGTCAATGAAGTGCACCGCGGTCTCAGCCGCGGTGATCGTTGCATGAACAGGCACCAGATGTGTCATTTTGCTGAATCTGTCCACAAAGATCAGATTACCCGTTGGATCTTGGCCATCGGGTGCAATCCGAAGATAAAGTCCATTGAAACTGAGCGCCAAGCCTCAGCTGCAATTGGAAGGGGTCGCAGGGGTGCCTGCGACCGATGGAGATGGCTTCACGCGCTGACATATTTCGCAGGTGCAAACCCAGTTGCGAACCCACTTGTACATGTGGGGCCAGAAGAAGTTACGTGAGACAGCCGCGAATGTCTTTTCGCGGCCCAGATGACCGCCAATCGGGGCATCATAGTACTCGTGGATGATACGAGCACGCGAATCCAAGTCATTCGCAATCACCGTTCGAGGTGCATCGATCTTATCGATGCTGTATAGCAGCAAATCACCATCTACACTGTATCGTTGAATGTGTTCACGCTTCGTTCGCAAAAGAGCTCCCAGTGCAGCATCACTGGGAGCGCGCAGATAGCAATAATATCCGCGTAATCCGGATCGTTCGCGTAAGCCGTGACAATTTCATCGTAAAGGCATAACTCGGTTTTGAACCGAGTTAAATTTAACTACACACACGTCGCACATCGATCGTCTTCATCGTCGTCGTCAGTTGCCTGACCACTCAGTGCCATAAGAGGATCTTAATCTGGACGTCGTGACATTGCGCCAGCAAGAATGTTAGTCTTGCCTAGCTTGTAGTGCGCGATGAAGTTGTACTTGGAGAAGAAAGAGAGCCACCGTGCCATCCGTTGTGAAATGTGTAGGCTCTTCATCTCTGTTCGCAGCGATGCATGATCAGTATACAGGGCGAACGTAAGTTCGCCCAGTAGGTGCACACGAAACTTGATGAGTGCTTAGCGCATAGCTAATAGCTCCTTATCGTGGACTGGATAGTTCTTCTCCGCCGGCTTCACCTGTCGTGATTGGTAACGCACGACTCATTCACGGCCCTGATGATTGAACTGCATGAGGGCGCGACTAACTGCAAAGTCACTTGCATCACACACCACGTGAAACGGCTTGGTGTCGTCAGGGAGTATCAACACTGGCGCCAAAGCCAGGCGTTTCTTCACTGCGTCAAAGGCAGCTTGATGGTCAGGACGCCACGAACACGTGGCGTCTTGCTTTAGAAGTGACGACAGAGGCTGTATAGAGCCGGTGTAATCCTTTGTGTACTTGTGCAAGTAATTAGCTAGACCGAGCCATTGACGCAGCCCCGTTGAATTCTTAGGTGTAGGATAAGAACAGATTGACGACACCTTCTCTGGATCGGCTCGAACGCCGATTTACTCACGTAGCAACCCAGCACCGAAATCTCTGATGTGCAGAATACACACTTTTTTAAGTTTTCATTCAACTTGTTATCCCGTATGACTTGAAACACCTGCTACAGATGTTGAAGGTGAACTTGGACAGCACTGAGGCTGCCCTCAGCGCGACTGTGGACAAAAATGTCATCGAAGTAGCTAGTAGCAAAGTCTCGAAGCGGTCTCAATATTGAGATACCATGTGATTTAAAGTGGTTGGTGCGTTCTTCAATACTTGTGGCATCACCAGCCACTCCCATAGCACACCGCTCGGGGTGCTCACCGCAGTGAGTGATATGTCACTCTGTAGCATTAAGATCTGGTAGAAGCCATAGGTCAGATCGATGGCTCTGAAGACGACGCTTCCTGACACGGAGTTAAAACCCATGTCTTTCCTGGGGATGGGCGTTTGGGCAGGAGTATTGCATCGTTTAGCTTGTTAAATGCATGCACTATACGCCAGCTTCCCGTAGCCTTCTTCACGTAGAAGGTTGGATTCGAATGGGGTGAGACACTCTCACGCACATGACCGGCCTTGCGACGACCTTCAAAGAATGCATCAATAGCCTGGACTTGGTCTCGAGGCAACGGGCATTGGCGTGTCACACAACATTTCGATCCTAGCACGAAATCAATCTCTTGCCGCACGCCACGAATGGCAGAAAGTTCAGCCGGAATCTTGTCCGGAAACACGTCGGCTTACTCTCAAGCAATGTCGTAGACAGGGTTACCAGACTCGCGTAGAGCTTCCCAAGATTGCGACGCAAACCTTTCTTTGCGTGCTGACTTTTGTTCAGCGCTTCGAGGGCGCGTCACTAGCTCCTTAAACGGCTCATAGTTAACCTCTTTGGTGACCAGACGTACTTGTTCCACCGTGCCTCCCTTGACGTCGCGTAGAAAATGCTTCCAGGAGAGTCCTGGAAGGCTCGTAATCGACGACGCGTCGCGAGGTGGACTCGCGACCTCAATGTATTGGCGCCTTTGTGGACTCCCGTCCACGTACACAATAGCGTGGACACATTCCAACGCTGAGTTCTCGTAGCTTGCGTCCACATCGTGCTTCGAGTCCATGCTCAAGCCGGCGAACCGCAGTCAGGTGTTCAATCTGCATCCCCCTCTAGACGCTGGATGTCCTAATCCAGGACGTCGAAATCGCGTGACGGGAGTAGTCCATACTTGTCCGTCAACGCATGATGCGGGAGCCCCTGCTCGACCGCCACAAACTCGTGTGGGAGAACCTGCTCGACCACGTCTTGCTCATGTGGGAACCTCTGTTCTACCACAGTGGGCGATGATGGGAACATCTGTATTACCATCGTGTTCGCACGTGGGGACTCTTGTCCATCCACGTCACACTCGGTGGCGAGCCCCTGCTCGGTCACATCTTGCATTTGTGGGAGCCTCTGCTTGACCACAATGGGTGCAGGTGGGAACACCTGTTCGTGTTCGACCACTGCTCTCTCGTGCGGGAACCTCTGTTCGACTGCGTCGTCTTCGCGCGGAAGCCACTGCTCATCCGCGTCGTCATTACGCGGGAGCCACTGCTCGTCCACGTCGGACTCCTCGCTGCAAAGCGAGGAGATATCGGCTTTCGTGCGTATTGGCACGGAACAAGCGATACAGAGAGGGCCATCGCTCACTCTGTGTACCGCCGGTGAAGTGGATGTACTAACCACGAGTTAAACGTTAGGCCAATCGCTTAAAGTCACCAAGAGCTGGGTGAACACTTCGCGGACGTCGAACTTGCTTCGGCGTCTCACTGATCTGGCTAACCAGTCGATCTGGGTCTTGTAGATTGCCAACCATGGCATGCCCAGTATGCAATCGAATGCATAATTCATCTCAATTACCAAGAAATTGTAGCTACTGCGATAGCCGTCAAACGCGTACGGCAACGATACTTCGCGCCGCGATAAGCGGCGTGGTTTCCCGTCAGCAAGCTTGACAACAACTTGGCCAGGTCCCTCGTAAACCTTGATTCTGGGTGGCATCTTTAACAAGCAATATTCACGCAAGAAATTGTTTGTCGTTCCTGAATCCAGGAGCGCTCGTAGAGGTCGCGAAATACCGGCGAAATAAAGATTAACAATAGTCGGTCGTGAATCACCACTAGTAGTGGTGGCATTTATCCGTGCACGCAGCACAGATGCGCGGGGAGGTCGGGCTGCCACCGGTGGACCCAGACTTCCCTTTAAACCAGTAGGGCGCCGTGCACTTACTGGTCTCGTCCGTTTCTTGGACGAGCTAGCGGAGCACCTCCCTCATGATGGGTTGCGGTCGCGTGTACCGACATCGGTGCTGGCGCGCGGCATTCAGTTGCGCGATGTCCCGGCTTTCGGCATCGAAAGCAGATTATTTGACGTCCGCTACGGGCGTCGCCCTTGTAGAGCGTAGCGCGTCGTCGGTCACCCGACGACTCAATTGCATCGATCTCCATAGGTTCCGGGCCCACTGATTTGACAGCGGTAACAACTGAAGGCTTGGTATAGGCCTTGGTGACTCTAAAGTCCTCACAAAGGGCGATAGCGAAATCCTCCTCCGAAGTGGCAGGCTCCGCGCGTCCCAGCGACAGCCGAGTCAAACCTTCACGTATGCCATCGACAAACACGTTCACTTGTGTGTACATGTCCATGGGATGCGTGACAATGCACGACGCCAGATGTCGAGCCATCTGCACTTAGTCGCGCATGGACATAGTACCCTGTCGCAAGGACAAGAACCTTGAATGTACCAACTTTTATTCTTGTGGCGGCTTGAAGGCGGGTCGATGGTCACTCTGGATGGCTATCAGAGTGAAGAACGCTCACTCGTCCATAAAGAGTTTACCCAATGCCCACTCCTTGGCTTTTCCAGTGAGACAGGAAAGCAGGAAGTTGATCTTAATTTGAGGAGCCTCGAGAAGTCTCGAGGCGATAGCGATGTCAACCTCTTGATGCCAACGCGACAACGACAAGCGTTCCTTTCCATCGCCAGAGTAAACGGAGGTCTCCATCTTCAAAGCATCGTTCCGTGAAGTCCGCGAGAGAGTGAGCCTCGCCGATTGAATTTGGCGAGCTCGCGAGCCATGTAGTCGTGTATGGCGAGACGCTGTCCATCAAGAGTAGCTGATTTCATCAGCGACACAACGAATGCACCTCCAGATATCGCCGCGAGGCGATTTAGGGCATCCCACTTAACACCAGTGAGATGGGGGAAAGTCGCGTACTCCAGACTCACGTCTAAAGCGTCAAAGAACGACGAATCGCTCGTCCCAAACTCGGGCATGGGAAGGACTACTAAGTGCTACCAGGTGTAACGGGGCTAGAATAATCCGCACTTAGCTTACACTATCCTACGCTTTGAGGAAGCCTCAAAGCCCAAGTCTTAGGTAGTACTTTTAGCTCTGTTTTATATTTTGTCTATTAATCATCCTAAGTACGGATGGTTCCCTTGGACTCATGGGAACCACTCAATCTACGTGCCTATATCTTACTGGCTAATAATGGTACTGAGCCCATTACACCAGCTAAAATATACGACGTGCTACTTTCGCTACTTCGAAAGTAACACCCCTACTTAAGTAACATGTAAACTTAATCGAAACTACTTATGTAACGGGGTGGCCCATTACGGATGGAGTAGGCCATACAAGAAGAACGGTGTATGCGTTGTAGATGCATGCACCAAGTTGTTGATGGCGAATGTCGCCATCGGCAAGAACTCACTCCAACTCGTAAAGTAGTGGTCATACCCTCGAAGTATCTCTATAAGAACGCGGTTGACGCGTTATGTCCGGCCATCTGTTTTGGGATGGTCAGAAGTCGACATCATAAACGTGTTCCAAGTAAATGGATCGCGGATTTCCAAAACCTTGCTGTGAAGCAGGGGTCCCTATCAGATACGAGTTCACGGGGTAACTCGTTAAGGCGGAAGATAGTATCGATGAAGACACGAGCAAATCCCTGAACTGATTGACTCCGGTACAGCAACAAGATGCACCATCTTGCTGAACCTATCAACATCCAAAGAATACCAGTATTCTTGTGAGCGTCTTTGGGAAACCCAAAGACGAAGTCCATCGTTACGGACTACCATCTCTCTGCCAGAATCAGGAGGGGCCGCAAGGGTGTACGGGCTGATCCATACGATAAATCTGGGTAAAGCCCCATTATTCGGCAGTCTGATGCAGCTAGTATTTTGGAAGCTCAACTTGCAGATTGACACGTCACTCCACCACAATTTTTTCCTCCAGCCCGACGAGGTCATATCACAAGGATCGCTACTTTAAGTAATATAACGTTTTATCCATTCTTTACTTCTTACTCTTCCCTTTCCTAATGCCCTGAATCTTTTTGTGGCTGGTCAGGAGCAGTTAAAAACTAGTAGGGCCTTGGTATTATGTTGAGGGAACTAGTTCTACGGATGAAGGACCAAGGTAAATTGATGAGGAACTAATTCAACCGATTAAAGTCCAGGTTAATTGATGAGGGACCAGGTCTACCGACGTAGGACCCATGTATACCAATGAGTAACCCAGGTAAATTAATGAGGGACCCAGGTCTAATGATGAGGGGTTGGGTCCTCCAAGGAGGGATCCAGGTCTAATGTTGGACACCACGGTATAATTTTGGGGGACCAGATCCACCTATGAGAGACAATGGTCATCTCTTTTATTACAGCTTAACAATAACCCAAGTAAAAGTCTTTCCTTTGATGGATCTGCGGGTCCCTTTTTCCTAATTCTAACTACTTTCAGGACCCCTTTTCTATCCAATCTTGCTTATCTGGATGTGCCCCCTTTTTTTTTTACATAATTGTGGTCTCCGGTCCGTTATCTTTTCAATTGCACTTCACCACATCATCTAATGACGGTAAATACCAAATGATACTTCTTTTAGCTGCACAACTACCTATCTTAATGCTGAAACATCCTCCTTTATGTACGAGCTTGTTGAACAGTGCAATCCTTTAGCTGCTAAGTACACAAGGTGATCAACCTCCAAGGGACCCATGTCTTATATCAGGCCACAAATCTTGGAGTGATGGACCGCTATAATCAAAAATGGACCGCGGTATACTGTTGGAGGCCGGAATAACCGATTTAAGTTGTTTGTCATCTCCTTTCAGTACCGTTTAACCGGTATTCGAGCAACTAACGTTTTCGTTGATTGTATCTGCATGTCCCTGGTCCTTAAGGGTTGAAATGTACATGTGACCCCTTCTATTTTTAGGCACTCCTCCCCTGAAAAAGGTTCATTCTCCCAATGTGCCAATGTTATCCAGGTCCGTTATTATTTCAAGAGCACTTTACCCCTAAAAAATGGTCTCGGCTTTACCCTCAGGACGAACCAGACTTAAAAACCTTGACATGTTCAGCCAACAGGACCCCATAAGTGTCTTTGCCCATCGCGAGATCATCGCAAAAGGCAACTTTTCAGACATTAAATCCACGACGGAGGCCAAAGTAGATCTTTTAGCCGTCGAAATTGCGCATAATTTTTATGTTACAGGCTGTTTTGACTTGATTAGTGACGTTGCTGAGGTGTATTCGCCCTGCTGGAGACGTTCTCAGTGAAGCAGGTGACGGCATCCGAGGATGTAGGGTCAGTATTTTGCAGTTCAAGTAGCTTCATTGCCTCAATTTGACCTTGCTAATACGCTTAAACCACTAAGTTATCTACATGCGCTACGACTTCTTCAACAGTCCTTAGACAGTAATCAACTTCTCTATCCATCATAAATACCCTGCGGCAGGATTCCTCATGAGCACAAGCTTCGAGCTTCTGTTAAACTGTTATTGTCGCTGCATCTATTTTTCAAGGAGATCTCTTTTGAGCACAGTTTCATCTAGTGAAGTCAAACGCTATTGCTGTTCAGCAACTTGGCACTTATAGATTATCAGTTGCTATAGTTTCAGCTTCCTTTCTCCATCGATTTTTTGCATTGGGGATCATGACCTCTATGCTGAAAAGCAGAGGCGCTTCGGTGTAGGCGACCGATCCCTCTAGCTGATTGTTGCTAGACGGGTGCCGTAAATTTTGACTCGATCAAAAGTTGTATTAAGGTTGGGCCAGCAATCAGCCTTTAATCGTACATGCCAAATAAGATTGAGAAAAGCGACTTATTACTAAACTTCAGAAAATTTTTAAGGATAAAGAGGACTCTCCTCTTTCTAACGGGATCCCGTCTTTAGTTAAAATACGACAATCCCTGCAACGGCGCGGGTGGGAACCCACAACGCGCCGGCGAAATTTGCGGCGGAGATTGATAATCTGGTGGAACCTGCAGCAGTTCGATGTGATTCGGCATAGTGCAGAGCAATATTTGCATCGACAAAATTAAATGTGTTTTCGCGTTGCAGAGCATTATTACCTATGCCGCCGGTATGTTCAAGTATTCAAGCCGTACGGGTGGTATTTGAAGCGGCTTGGTTGATTTTTATACATCTCAGGCTTAATAGGGCCTTAAAATTGCACGTTAAAGACACTTAGGCCGAAAGTGGCTAATGTTAAGGCAGTGGTTGTAGATGTTGCAAATGATAGGCTGCTCTACTCTCTATAAATCCCTACGGATGGTGCTACGCAAATTTTGGTACGTACGCCGTCGAGACTATGTATTTGGATGCGAAAGGGGGGAGGATCTCCCAAAACAACTTGGCTAAAGGGCGTTTTCACTTGCGTTTATATACTTTTTTCATCGTCATTATTTTTTCTGTGCATTTATTTAGTTGTCCTATGTTTGTGTGGCAGCAGATTAGGTGTTTACATGGGATTCTGAGACACTTAAGTATCAGCCGTTACACGTCTTGAGATTTTCATGATCGAGGGCGAGCGCATTCTACTCTGTGAGATTTCAAAATAACTTTATGGACTGACACTTTACAAATTTTGCATCTTTCCTTTGCCATTGATTCGCTATTTCTTCTGTTATTCAAAGGCCTCCCTTGACTTCTCTCGTAGACGTCGGGAAGTATCCCGATGGCGCTGTTAAACCAGCTGTTGATGCATGTGCAATGGGCACCCTTAAACTGTCAGATTACAGTGTGTTATAAAGTAAAAGACCGGTCGGTGCTACCCAATGGTTTAAAAGAGAGAACTTATTCTTATCCAGGTTTGCAATTGCTCTATTTCGTCATGTAGATAGTATTGGATTAGTATCAACATAATTTAACTGCTATCGGCCAACAAACCATAAGTTCTTGCAAAAATGAACTTATTGCAAAGGATTTGAGGTGTTTCTGAAATCGTCTAAGCAAACCTTTAGTAGGTGCATAAACAATAGCATTGTAGTGGTCCAACAAGGCTATTTAGATGTCCACACCGGCTTTAAAAACATTTTTTCTGGAACAGGAAATAAAAATGTTCGCAAAGTGAAGCCGGCGAATTATAAGAAGTTGGCGAGGCGATTTTTCAGCATAATTCTTAATGAGGCCACACTGCGAATGACGAGGAGAATATTTAATGCATATAAAAAATCCTTTTAATCTCATTAAGTACCCGCACATTTAGTTCACTGTCCACGAATCTAAATGCAGCAGTGAAATTCGATTCTCTGCACGTAGATCCCACCACGTACATAGGCATAATGCCGTAAGCATATGTTTTGTACGTAAAGTCAATTTTAGCAAATATGCTATATCGGCGGATGGATCTCACTTGAATTTTGTGGTTAGTAATTTAGATGCCGGATGTAGAAGTCTTCGTCCACCGCGAACGTAGCATTCAAAGCTAAAATTTTAGGTGCTCCATCAACGTCTCGTGTGAGATTTACTGCCCAGGGTCTTTAAGATGATCTTAAACGATCTTCTGTACATCACTTGCCTTATAAGATGTATGCGTTAGTTTGTATGTGTACTATAACAAAGCTAAGGAATTGATGAGCAAATGACATTGTTTAAATCGTTTTTAAAAGATAATTTTATGCACAATTACCCGCATTTCAGCTCTGCCTCCATGAATCTGTACAACATTAAAGATGACAAATCGTTTTCTCTCATGGCACAAAGAGCCACCAGTAGTGCCAAGAGCATGGTCCTGTCAATTAATTGAATACGGCCGTTGTGGCATTCACTTACAAAAACGTCGACAAATCGGTTTCTTTCAGACCGTAATTTTCATTGAAGATCGCAAGCTTGTATAAGCATACCAACCTTTAAGTACGACGATATTGCAATGCCATAGGCCGATAGTGTAATCGCATGTAGTTCTTTACCTGCGAACAGCAGAAAAAAGCGCTCATGCCAACTCTTTTGCTACACAAAAGGCTGACGGCAAGTTACTGGTGTT